TACTAAGTTTGCTTTTGTTTTCTCTCCTACATTTGGGGTTCCCTACCAGTGCTCCTGTGCTGACCAGTTTAGCTATCCATAAAAGCATTACCTCTTATCAGAACCTTCCAGGTGGTTGTCCCCACATTTTGAAACTGTCCCAAGCTGCAGCATGTGCTGGAGCATTGATGACCTTTCATCTCTGCCTTGTAACTTTTAAGCTGGATGTGGGAGGGCTTTGAAGGAAAGCAGGGACAGTGTGACACTTCTTTCCCCCACTGCCCAAGTAAATGACAGACCAGCACAAGGATAAATAGTAGAGCTGTCCTGCCTTTGCACCGGCAGTGCTGGAATAAAATGCTTTTGAAAAGCAACTTCCCTTCACATATTTAAGGAATTTGCCCTGTCTGGAGCTCTTTACAGAGCTGCATCCTGCTCTCCACTGGCATCCAGCTTGTGGCTGTTAGGGATTTACTATGAAATCTGTTTTGCTTTCTGTAGTATCCTATTTTACTTATGTTCTGGGTCACCAGAATATTTCTATGTACTTCCTACTGCATTAATCTAAATAGGGTACTGGTCAGATTAAAGATCACAGTCATTGTTTAGCTATTACAGTAGCATGGGCAAAGGTACAGAAACACTTTTAGGGTGTCTGTAAAGATCCTAAAGATCTATGTCAGATCATGGCCATGATCAGCTAATGAGCAACCAGTTATTCATATGGTTCTCCCAAACTATTATAATATTTCTCCATCATTTATGCAGGGAGTTGCTTTGTAAAGCCATTAAACCCCCATGTTCTGTTAGCAGCTAAAGGTTTCTATTGATCTCTTACTTTAATTCCCTTTAATGAAAATACATTGGTATTTGATTTCCTTGTCACTTCTAACAGCTGATAAGAACAAGCTGCTAGAGCAGCTGCAGTGAAGTGACAAAAGCCTGGTGGTGTAGCACTGCAGCTCTCTCAGAAACACTGCCAAGGCAGAGTGAAACCCAGTGTGACGTGTTGATAACATTCTCCCGTCAGGTGGTCTTTTCAGCTGGCTCTAAAATGTCAAGTCTGAGGGAAATGTCTTTGTTAAGCTTTGAATGACCTACTTTTGGGTATCTGGGAATAACCAGGAGCCTACCCAAACCACAAGAGTGCATCTAATTTTAGCAGCCCTTCATTTCATGCATGCCAGCTTTTGTGTTCTGCATCTCCAGGAAAAAACTTCAATTTCTTGCTGAGCGAAAGACAAGTTTTATTGGTTTTAAATCAGCCCCTTGTGAGACACAATCACAGTGAAATGATTCCTCTTAAATTTTTTGAGCCTGTAATAGTAATCTCAATTTTGCTTCAAAAACTAATAGTGAGCCCATTCCAATGGATCTACAGTTGCTGGTCTCTGAATAAAAGGTCTAAACAGCCCATGCTGGAGGTAGCCTGGACAGCTGTGTTTTGTGTGTTCCCACTTTCCCCTGGTTTTTAACTGACCAATATTAACAGGGTCAGATTCTTTGTAGGAAGTTTCTGTGAGTCTTCTGCCTCAGTTATAAGGGAATCTAGGGAAAGTTAAGGACAAAAATAAAGGGCTGTTAGTGTGTCATCAGGGGCTCCGAGGACATTACTAGTGCTGTAGATACTGGACAAAAGGTTTCTGACATATTCTGGATAGAAGAAGCACTAAAACGTATGTGACCACTGTTAGGGATATTAGTGCTGTGCAAGATTGAAAGGAAGCAAGTTCAGACATGAGTGAGGTACAGTCTCCCTTGTTTGTAATACCTAAATTGGATATTGAACAGTGTTTCTCTTGCTGGGAGGGATAATCCCTCCCATAATATAATCCCTCTCATATAGTGACAGAATGCACTGTAATTTCAGACTGAAATGTGTTTGAATCCCACCTGCACTGGACAAGTGGAACTAACACAGAGGATGGTAGGGACTGAACATTGTAGATGTTTATTTGGAGCTTCACAAAAGAGAAGAGAAGAGAAATCAAGGCCACACAAAATATAATAACATAATCACAACGAACCTATTAGCAAGTTCTCTGGAGCCAGAAAACTTCCCAGCCAAATGGGATTAACTATAAAAACAAGCAGCACCTGCTGGCAGCTCTAAACAGGGTTGGTGTCATTTGGGATTGAGCTGAGTATCTGATAATGTGTAGTGCTTCCCTGTGGAGTCCCTTGAGGCTGGCAGTGGGCTGCCTCTTCAGAGGCAGCTGTTGACAATGTATTTGTGATCTGTGTCTGAAGAGGCCTGGGCAAAACAGGCAGAAGGTCAGCTGCTGTTGGGCTGTGAAGCACTTAATGATGAGAGACGTGTTGAGTTCCGTAGAGGTGTTTGTCTCATCTCTGAATTTCCCAGGTTTTAAAGAACAACTTTGTTTGGCCATAAAGGTAAACAGTTAGGAAAGGTGTTTATGGAAATACTTTTATTATACTCGAGCAGTGGTTTTAGAGGCCCACATTTAGGTTCAGTGTTGGATTTGGAGAGTTGCTGATCTGATGATCTGTTGAGGACAAAGCAGGGAGTGACCAAGAGTGAGGATGCAACAACTCTAATGCCCAGCTCACTGATCACAGAGTGGCAAGCTGCTGCAGGGAGGCTGCTGTGCTTCCTGGAAGAAGCAACCTTTGTCACAGAAACAAAAAATGAGAAAGTGCTTGAACTTGAGTCTCCAAGCTGTCTAGGGGCTCTCTCAGCTGCCTATGTGGTACCAGTCTCTGGGCAGTGTACCTTGCACAGTGTCTTGCTTTCAGGCTGGTTTTTCAATGTGTAGCAAATAAAAGGAAAAATAACTTGAAACAAATATTTCCTGTTCTGTGGTATTTAACAATGAAATTTTAAACCACAGAAGGGACCGGGCTTGATCTAAAGGTCTTTGAAGTCAGCAGAACTATTTCCACTGATTTCAATGTGCTTTGGGTGCAGGCCATGGAGGAAGAAAGCAAATGTTTTCTGCCTCAAAAAGTATTAACCATTGGCATTCAAGCAAGAATAAAGTCTTAGGTTTAAAATGTGTTCCTTTAAATAAGGTAGTCAGAAACTTAATTAATTTCTATCTGCTTCCTAATATTTTGTCACTCTTACACTAAGAAGGAATATGTTTATAGAACTCATAATCATACACTGAGAAGAAAAAAATACTTAATACTGTTATTTGCCTCCTATCTTCTTTCATTCCATTTTGTGTGTATTGTATTTCTCACCAATGTAATGACGCTTATGCTGCTGGTTGCTATCACAGATTGAGAACTGTAGATTTCCAGTTGAATTAAACTTCACTGTAGTGATGGTGGCTGACAAATACATTGACCTCACTATTTTTCAGTACAATTTGATCTCTTAAACATCACAGTGGGTTTGGTTTTGTTGTTGTGTTAGTTTTTGTCAAAAAATTGGTTTTTTGTGACTGAGAAGAAATAGGTCAGATACAGGATTTGGTGAGAACTGTTCTTCTAGGAATAGTGTAGGGGATGCCCCTCCTATTGCAGGGTGTGCAGCAGCTTCATGTGTAAAATCAGCAATGGTTTTGCCTGCAAATTTTGTCCCTCACAGTTATTAAATGCAAGAAAAGGAATCTATCTGCCAGCTGCCTACTGCCCAAGGATGCTGTCCTTGTGAATCAGCAGCCCTGTCAGGATGTCAGGAGGCCATCCTGGAGTCTGGCAGGTGACAGCAGCCCATTGTGGGGTGTGTGTGTGGTTTTGTGTTGGGTTTCTTGTCACACAAGAGCAGAGCCTGAGCAGCTGAGTTTGCCTGTGCACCCAACCAACCCCATCCAGCTGTGAGCCACCAGAGAGGAGATCCCAGGCTGCAGGAGAGGACAAGACTCTGTTGTCATGGCCAGGCTGCACTACCTGCACAAAGAACCACTGAACTGGCATCAGCTGGAAAATATATCAGGAGAGGATTAAAGGTGATGCAGGAAACAGGAGGGTATGAATTAATGACATTTTCAGCCTTCTTTAGTGAGGGCAATGACCAGCCTTTGTGCATGTTACAATGAGAAGAATTTTTCAATGAGGAGAATTTTTCAGTGGGGCCTCCCCATTTCAGGGTATTTCTATGAAATAAACTTACTTGTCTTTTGAGACCAAGCTTTGAAATGTCACAGAATCACAGAATATTCTGAGTTAGAAGGGACCCACAAGGATCATCAAGTCCAACTCTTGAGGGAATGGCCCATATAGAGATTGAGCACGCAATGTTGGTGTTGTTAGCACTGTTCTGTAACCAGCTGAGCAGTGCCTCATTTGGAATTTATCAGGGTTTAGAACAGGGTTCAAAGAGAAGAAACCAGAACGGAGTTAAGAACATTCTTCCAATTTGTAAGAGCTGTTGTTTACATTCATGGGAAAACCATGAAGCAAGGCAAACATAACATAATTTTGGAAAATGTGTGTGGTTTTTTAAGCATCTGAAATAGCAAGCATAGTACTATTTGTACTAAAGTGTGGGTGCAGCCAACCAGAGTCCATCAAGACAGCAGTTCAGCTTGAATTTGCTCCTTAGAAAAACTCCTCTTTCTTCCCTATATTTCTTCCCACTGCAGAGCTGCACAGATTTAAGTTGCATAAATACAGGAAGAAAAATTTAAAAGAGAAAGGATTATGAAATCACTTTGTTCCCTTTCAGATGAGAATTCTGTGTCTTTCAGCCTGCCAGACTGGGGCATCATGGTGGTCCCAAGCTGAAAAATCATAAAATCAAAAAGGTAGATGTTCAGAAAGGGTATCTTACAGAAAACGGTCATTTCCATGGGAGTTATCTATAATGTTTGGGAAGTGTTTTAAAACAATTAGAATAAATGGCTAATGGCAAAGCTTTCATATTTTTATAATATGTTAATGATTAACTGACTTCCTACATCTTTGTTGACTTAGTGGGAGAGTGACAAGGAACTGTGAGGTACCTATTTGGTAGCATAACAAGTTGGACAATTCGCATGGGCATTTTTTTCCACCTCCCTTTTGAAACTTTCCTCATCCAGCTGACACTGCTTCAAAGCCTTAGGCAACTCTCAGACTCAGAGAAGTAAGTCCCCCTTTTTTAAAAATATTACTTATTTTATGAAATGCTGATAGAGAACAGATGGGGAGAGATTTAAGTATTCATTTGTTTTCTATAAAGAATGCTTTCCCAACTGGGAATTGAAGAATTAAGTTTTCAAGTATTAAATCATAGAGATATTGATAAGAAGAGACCTTTATAATTACTATACTGTTGGGTTTTTTTAAAAATTCCCTTTCTGCTGCAAGACTTACATTAAACAAAAAGATTTGGTTAGTAAACCATGTTCAGTATACCCCAATAAAGCTGCATCTAGGCTATAATACTTTTCAAAAGCAGGATTTGAATGTTAATTTAGAAATGCATGTGATGCCTGGTATATCTAAAGCAAAATATTTGCTTAAAACATGAAATAAGTGGAAATAAGTGGATTTCTGCTTACGTGGGCTGCAAAAAATAATTATATGCTTATTTTTCATAAGAACAGTTTATCATGAACGTTCTCTTTAAGCTGGTTACAAGCTGCAGTAGAATTCCTAGGTTTTTGGCAGGCAACTGGGTTCAGACAGGGAGACTCAGACATCGCTCTACTGTCGGAACATTTTAGTGTATTTTATTTTAGCTGTGCTGTCATTTGCTAGGAAGCAAGTACAGTCTCTTATCCTTTTGGAAGGCTCTCCTTGCATCCACTTCCCCCATCTGTGAAGGAAGCCTGGCCAGCAGGTTGCTGTGTGCAGGTTGCTGTGTGCAGGTTGCTGTGTGCAGGTTGCTGTGTGCAGCTTTTGTGCTCTCCCACTGCCCCTTTAGCAGGTGCTTCCTTATGTGCCCTTGGCTCAGGGAATGCTCCTGCCTCCCGAGCAACTGCCTGTGCAGCACTTCCAGGCTGACATTCAAGTTGCTTCAGGAGTTCTTCACTTCCCCTGCAGCTCCAGGAAGCATTTGTTCCTGTTCTTTTGGCTGGGAGGTGTCTGCTGTTGGGTGACATCTTCCCATGCCCCAAGCGTGTGTTAGTGCCTCATCTTCCCATCGTGTGTGAGTTCTCTGGGACCTGGATGTGCTTGCCTTATTTACACTACTGAACCCTTAGTGCTCTTTTCTCTGTGCCAGACACCCAGAGCAGGCAAGCTTTTGTGCTCCCGCTGCTTTCTGAAGCTTCCTGAAAGGATCCCATCTCAACACAACCAGGTTATCTACCTTAGTTTTTCAAGGGCTGTCATTCCTGGAATGTCTCTAAACTGTTCCACTTTGGCTCTAAATGGAGCTCCCTTCACGACAGAGGCAAAGCAATCTGTAGCAACGCTGACAACATTGAGTCATCTGGGTCCTGGGTCAGTCCCACTCTCATCTCACTGCCTACCAGCCTGCAATAAGATGGGCTCAGATAGAGAAAAGTAAATTAGGGTGTGAGAAAACAGTGAGAATATATAGAATCGCCATCTCACTGCCTACCAGCCTGCAATATTTCCTTATAACAAGAGCATAAGATGGGCTCAGATAGAGAAAAGTAAATTAGGGTGTGAGAAAACAGTGAGAATATATAGAATCGGTTTCATTTTGTCCTATTATCAAAGCAAATCAAAATATTTTCCTGAAATAAGCAAAGACTTTTACACAGCTAAGTTTCAATGTATTCTTACTTGATGGAAGAGAAATGAAGATCGCTTTGGTTTGCTTGTTTTGAAACACAGTGAATAAATGGAAGCAGCAGAGTTTATACACTGGACATTGACATTTGGAGGGAGAGGCATGTTAAATCTGGACATTCCCTACAAATCTGGACAACCCTACAATGATTTCTAAGACTCTAGGCCCTACTAGTTTGTCTTTTTTAACTGAAAATAAGTATGTTAGTGACAGCTAAAATCTAAACCTCAGATATCAGAGCTCAAGACTTCATGAGTGTCAGGGAGATGTATTCAAGGAACGGGTCATAAATGCAGCTAATTTTATTTCTAGGAAAATAGGAACAAAAGAACTGCCACAGTGAGTGTTTGAAATGTCTGTAGAGAAGGTAGGAATAGACTGATTTATCAGCCAGTGGTGGCAACTCTTGTGGACTGGACCACAGCAAGTAAATGGCCTTGGACAAAGTTGTCCTTCAGCCAGAGCTGTGCTGAAACAGTGATGGCAGAAGGATAAAAAACATTTCTGAAGCTCTCTTCTAGACACATCCAAACTCAAGGATCCTAAGGCTTTAATCAGTCTTTGAATATCATGTCAAGGATCATGCAATTTGTGTAAGACTTTCAAACATTTCTGTGACAAGACCCAGCTCCATCTCACATTTCCCTGCAGTTTCAGTGTCTGAGAGCTTATGTTCCATGTTGATGGAACGTGGATGTGTTGGTGACTGGCCTGTCCAGCTCTGCCTGGTGCCTCAGGTCCCAGAGGAATAAGAGATACTGCAGAGGGGGTGCTGCTGCTGGGGAATGTGTTACCCAGCACACACCAACCAAAGGACTTCTCCCAAACAGCAAACTCCCTTCAATGCCTCTGAAAGCTGCAGCCCTCTTGCTCTCAACCCATCATATGGAATGATGAATTTAAAGACAAGTCTTGCAGGTGATTATGTGGTTGGGGACACTTCCTTATGGCACCCTACAATCTGGACATCTGTCCCTGGCACAGGTTTTCATCCCCGCAGGAGGGAACCTGACACCCAGTAACCTGAAAGGCCCAATTATATTTAAATGCATGAACTAAGAGAGTTTGATAGCTTTTTTCTCTCTTGCATTTACCTGCAGGGATTTTAAAGTCTCTGTTTCAGGAACTTAAGGCAGGGTGAGTTTTGGAATGCAGATCTGAAACCCAACTAATGCCTATAGACTACTGAATGCAATTAAAACAGCTTTGAAGACAGAGTATTAACTGCAGAAGTAAAAAGCATTTGGTGTAAATGAGGTTTTTCCACCCTCAGAATCAATATCATAGCCCCAGACTTTTGTTGCTAACAATTACTGGAAGAAAAAGAAGTGTTGACAAAATTACAAGATAACTCAATTTCTGTTTATTCCTGCTGCTGAGAATATCAGAAGGTGGGGTTGTGGCCACAAAGAACTGATCTATTCAATTGCAACGTTTCATTTTAGTCATTTTAAAGGTAAGCCTGATGCACAGATGACCCAAACCCCTGCTCTGTGAAACCACTTAGCATTGTGAGAGCAGCTTGCTTTCATTTTTTTTCTTCTAGAAGCAAGCTTGCAGCTGTAGGAAAGTCAACATAGCTGTCAGGCATCCTCTCCATTTCTTGAAGCTAAGAGTGGGAAACTCGTGCCTCATTCTGTCCTCAAGTCCATGTGCAATGGCACAACATACTTTCCATAAAGAAAAACAGCTACTTACTGTGCAATGCTTAATTTAAGTAAAATCAGCAGTAAAGACAAAAGGATCCTTCAAGTTTCTGTTTTTGGATGAATACACTGACATGTATCATCTTTTACTAGTAACTTCAGTCTTTGTGCAAATTTGCATTGAATGCTAGCAAATTTACATTTAAATGCACCCCCCCATAAAGTCAGGCTGGGAAAGTTGGGGCTGCTCAGCATGGAGAAGAGAAAGTTGTGTGAGGACCTCCCAGCAGCCTCCCAGAATCTGAAGGGGACCCCCAGGAAAGCTGGAGAGGACTCTTCATCAGGAGCTGTGATAGGACAAGGGGGAATGGCTTCCACTGAGAGACAGTAGGCTTATATTAGATGTTGGGAACAAATTCTTTGCTGTGAGGGGGGGTGAGGCACTGGAATGGGTTGCCCAGAAAAGCTGCAGACTCCCCAGACCTTGAAGCATTCAGGGCCAGGTTGGACGGAGCTCTGAGCAACCTGGTCTGGTGAGAGGTGCCACTGCCCAGGTCTCTGTTTTTAAGCTACTATTTCTAGACTTTCCAAACACTACCCCAAAAGCTGCTGGGGTGCCTGTTGGATTGAACTGAGTACATTTTAAATGAAAATGTGGATGAAATCATGGGATACTGGAAGATGGTACTGTGGCCACCTCTCAAAACCACTTCTCACTTCTTTCTGTGAAAAGGGTTTTCAGTCATGCTTTTCATCCACTGCCACTGACACCACACAGACCCAGCTTGCTCCTGCTGGCCAGATTGCCTTTGTAGGCTGACTCCATCCCAGGGAGTAGCTGGTCTGCAAGGCTGGAATGCTGAAATCTGCAGCTCTGAGTGAGCTCCTGAACCAAGGAGCACATGCCAGTGACACCACCTAATTACTCAGAAGATCTCCTGTAGCTGACTGAATATGAGTTCATTTGCCTTAGGACATTTCCTCTAGTGACTGCGTTACATCACTGTATTATTCAGACCATACAGGTAACCTTACTACACTAATTAAACTAATTCAAAATATTTATGTAATTACTAAAGCATGAAACTGGCCAGTGCTGTCTGTGTTAGCACAGCCTGCTATATGATCTGAGCTTTGAACTGTATTTTATCCAATATAGCTGAAACATGCAGGGACTGAGCTTTCCCATTTTTCTTCCAGAAGGTTGAAAAGGGCATTTGCACAGGGACCAGAAGTTTTAATTTAATTTAAAAAATTAAAAATTTGGGGTTTTTTGGTTTGTTGGTTTTTTTGTTTGGGTTTGTTGGGCTTTTTTCCTGTGGATGACAAGTTGGTGACAGATCAAATTCTTCCTTTCCAAAAGGGATGCCTCTGTTGAAATCTACAGGAATGGCACTGCTGGTGTTTGAGCCAAGTTCAGCACCTGCATCTCCCACCTACTGTGGAGAGAGACTTGTGCAGCGTCAGCCCCAAGGTCGTGCTGAGGGAAAAGCTGACAAAGCCCTGACCCAGGCGCTGCTGTAAACCCCGGCCTGCTGTGACCTTCCTTCCTTCCTTCCCTCCCTCCTTTCTTCCCTCTTGAGGCCTCACAGCAAGGCAGTCGCTGGAATGGCTGAAATCCTGGAGGACGACGCCCTCTGCAGCTCGCTCCCTGTTTTATTTGGCATCTGCAAGAGAAATGTCTTGTTTGGTTTGTTATGGGGTTGCTTTTTTTGTTTGTTTGTTTGTTTGTTTGTTTGTTTGTTTTTTTGGGGGGGGTTTGGTTTTTTTTTGTTTGTTTGTTTGTTTGTTTGTTTGTTTTAAATACTTGCCACTGTAGTTCTGAAAAATCAATGTATCTTTCTAGATTTGGGAGAAGAGGAATTTCCCTGATCCTCTTTGCCCAAAGGCTTCCTTTAAAATCAATGCTTATGGCAAGTGATAGATGCCTGTTTCTTTTCATTAGGTCAGCAAAACTTGTAGTGTGCTTATTAACATTCATAGTAACAGAGACTGGAATCGGGAACTAGAACTTTTTAAAAAATTTTTTACATGTTTTCTTATGTCTATAAAAATCCTGTAACTATTTTACCTTGATATTTTGTTCCTTATTTTCCTGCTGCATCTCCGTACCAGGAGGTCACTAAGTATAGACTTCGGTTTGATTTTCCAAAATAAAAAAGTATGAGAACTGTAATTTAATTTCATCATGGATTTTAAAAGTACGTCTTTTGAACCTTGTTTTTGCTCTAAGTCAGTGATACCAGCCTAGATCAAATATGCTCCAGTGGGCAGGGTGTGGAGAAATGAGCCAAAATGAATCATTTCCTACATAAGCAATTTTTTTTGTGTGTCTAGACACCTGATAACTCATTTAAAGCCCATCTTTGTTAGCTGGTTATTCTCCAGTGTTCTCAGAACTTTTGTATAAGCCTTAAAATCTCATCCTGTGTGTTTGCTTGTTTCATGCTTTTTTTTGAGAATCATAAAGGGAAAAAGTTCTTTCCCCAATATTTAATTTTATAATTAAAATGGGCACGATTCTAAGTATCTCAGCACACGCAGGTTTGATAGTGGGCTTGGAATCACATTTGTTCTTATTTAGATCTGTGAGCAGACAGTTGGGTACATTCAATCAATGAAGTTATATCAGATAATATACTCTGGAAAGATGTTGGTGATAAGGATGCACCTGCTGACACATCTTTTATGACCTTGACAGCAGCAAGTTGTTTAAATGAATGTTTATGATGTGCACAAGAAGTGTTACAGACATATGGGCTCTACGAAAACCGTATCTTCGTGTGGTTCAGGCCTGGCTTCTCTGTGCTCCACTGATTCCAAGAGAAAGCGAATGGAGTCAGCACGGGACTCCTCTGCTCTCCCTCTTTCCTGTCCAGCACCTTCCCAGCACAGGACAGGAACAGAAATGATGCTGTTTTGAGGAACTGGGACAGAAAGAGGGGCTACTGTGCTCCATGCCTGGTTACACAGTTACTTAGAAAGGGGGGGTTATGATCACTTTGTAAATAATGCAGCAAAATAAACATAATGCAGAAAGTGTTTATAAATTGGTTTTAGTTTAAGGAGATAAACATATGAGAGACTCTTCTGGAGAAGAATTTTCTCCCTGCTGGAGAAGATTAAATGTACACTTGCAATAATGGAATTTAATATATCCCACAGGAAATCTACTGGAGATACATAGATGAACTGGAAGGCCAATATGATAAAATTGCAGATGTTGCTGTGCTTGTCTGGCCTCAAAAATCACTCTGTCCCATCCTCTCATGGCTGGCATCACCTTCAGGACTGAAGTAAGTATGTAGTGGGCACTGGTATGAGAAGAGGGACACTGTCTGCTTAAGGCCATATTGCTATGAATATATTTCTTTTTCAAGATTTCCACAGGTGGATTTTTGCAACTAGATTGTATTGCCAACTAAATCCCTTTACCTACCTTAAGATCAATAAATAGAAAAATTGTTGCTTTAGTCTTTATGTTTAATATTTAGTACAAAAAATATGGTGGCAGACATATCTTATTAGCGTCAACTTGGTACAGTATTTCTCCAGTCCTGAATTAAATAGGATCAGCAGAAAAAGCATTTTAGAAAACTTATGAAATATACAGATCCCTAGAACCTTTCAGATTTACATAAATTTGAGGCCACGTCTTCACTGATCATAGATCATTCCTATAGGTATTCAAAAAATGGTACAAAAGACATGGGAAATTAAGTGTTGATTTGTTTATATTTTTCTCTTTTTTTATTTTCTTTTTTCTTTATAAAATAAAACCCTAATTTGCATTCAGAATGTACAGTCAGCAAACAAATCTTAAATCTAAATTACTAAAATATTTTCCAGCACAGTTTTAGGAGTATTCAAACCGGGGAAATTGGGCAATTTATAAACAAGTGGGATTTGCAAAGGTAAAGCACCGAAAAAACTTGGGTAAAGTTTGAGGGTGGGAAAGCAATGACAGTATAGCCAGGTTCCAGCCCCCACAGAGTGTTACATTTCTGATTAATTCAAATTTTTCTGCTAATGCATTCATGGCTAATTAATCTGAAAATGGTCAGAGTTCAGTGGTTGTTGTCAGACTTTGTGGTGTGGATTTTCTGTCTGACACTGGTCCCAGCAGCTCTCAGTAAAGACAGCACAAAAGCTGAAGTCTGTACAGATTGACCTCCAGCATCAAAGCCCAGCTGCTGGGAGAAAGGAGCACAGATTCTGCTTTGTAGGATCTCTTGCAACAGTCAGGAACCTGAGGATTTTCTCAGATTTTGTTCCTGCTAGCCAGTAACTCCAGGGCTCCTGATTATATGTAATGTGTTAAAGGATATTTGAACATAATTATTAACAAAGAAGACAATAACTTGGAAAAACCCATCAATTTTCCTTTTGTGAATGTAAAAAGGAGATCTTTAGGGGAGCTAATCAGGCTAATCAGAGCCTCTTTCTCCTCTGTGTGACACTATGACATAAACAGAATTAAAACCTACATATTACTTGTCCATGGATATTAAATTTCAATAGTTCATGGAAGTTGGGGAAAGATGACTGCCATCTTCCCTCTACATACACATTCTCTTTTTCACTGACAGGTTCACCTGCTCACCCAACTAATAATTGCCTTTGTCATTTTATTTTTTGTTTCTTTGCAGTGCCTCTCTCTCTTTGCATGGCAACTGTGTGTGTGACAGAGCAGGAAAGCACCAAAGGATGAACTCCCTGGTCAGCACCTCACACCTCCAGCTTGCTGCCTTTGCTCTGGGCACCATAGGCTGGATCCTGTGCACTGTTTCTATGGGAATTGTGGAATGGAGAGTGTGGCATGTGGACAACACCTCTGTCATCTCCTCTGGCATTGCCTGGGTGGGGATTTGGAAAGTCTGCTTCATCAGTTACCTTTACGTCTCACCTGGCTACAGAGAACAGTTTTGCCATAAATTCAGTGGCTATGACTCCTTCATCCCCCATGAAATTTATGCTGCTCAGGGGCTCCTGCTGATCGCCATGTTCATGGGCTTGCTGGGACTGGCTGCTACAATATTTGCTCTGAGAAATGTGTACATGGGAGTCACTCACAAAACTCTCATTGCCCCATTCTTCCTGCTGGGTGGCTTCTTCTACATATTTGCTGGTCTGTGTGTCCTGATTCCTGTGAGCTGGAATTTCTATTCTGTAACTCACAACCAGAGCATAGCTTTTCCTCCTTCTTACTACATGCCCTCCAGTCCAGCAGCGCAGGAAGCTGGTGCTGCCATTCCTGTTGGGATTGTGGCTGTCATCCTCCTGATGCTAAGTGGGATATTTTCTCTCTCATACAGATTTCCCATGACTGCAAACACTATCATGAAATCCTGACAGGAGAAATCTCCCCATGCTATTTCAGAACAAGAGCATAGTTAAGACATAAGGACAGTAGCATGAGTGGTTGTAAAGTTAAGGAACTGCAGAATTTAATTTTATTTTATAGTAGCCATGCTATTTTATTATATTAACCAGTTGAGTCACCATCTTAGTATTTACCCATTAGCAGAGGTTTGTCTTTAAGATAACTGCTGTTGAGCAGCAAATGTGATTAAATTTTGCCAGTTGTCTTCTTTTGTATATACAAACATTATTGATTGTGTGTGTAAAATGTTTACCATGCTCAAAGAGCTGACTTTGAATGAACTGTCCTGTAAGAAAAATGTGAAGTAACATGTATTAAATGTGAATTTCTTTCCTTGTCAGTACTAAGCTCTTTTGTTTTTTATTTAGTTATATCTGTAGCAAAGTATGTTTCATGATAAGTGAAGACTTTTAAAACCAATAATATGATTGTCATCATGGTTGTGTCAAATGACTCTTCCCTGAATTGTCTTATAAATGTCTTGCCAGTTTCTCCTCTTCCTCTAGGGCACATAAAGAGCCATTCCTTTATTGCTTCTCTTTTTCTTTCAAGCTATTTGCATTTTATGTTGCAACACGTTTGCCTGTGGGGAAGGTGTGCTCTTTAGTTCCTAACTGAGGCAGAGCCAAAAAGTCTGCAAGTGTTTGCTTCTTCATTGACACGTCACTGAATCCAAATGTATTGCAAAAGACGGAAATAACTTGTACAAGTTATTACAGAACTAATGTCAAAATCAGTGCTCTCAGTAACCAGGAGTCCTCAGTGCAACTTTCAGGGTATGATTCATCTGATGCAGAAATTTATATCCAAACCAGTCACTTCAGGTTCTGTTTATAATCAATATAGAGACAAAGACTGCCTTTTTCCAAGATGCCTAAAATGGCTGGGAGAAAAACCTTTTTCTCTTAACCCACTGTAATGGCCATAGTAACTACAGCTGCTAACTGTGGCACATACCACCAAACTTCACCTAAAGGAAAAAAAAAAAAGATAAATGTCCCAAATACTGCAATAAGGTTAATTTAAAAAAAAAAAAAGTTTAGCAATTGAGAGGAATGAACCAACAACGTTGACAGATGATCTCTTCAAAGAGGTCCTCAAGATGTTGTTACATTTTTAAAGAAATGCTACAGAAATCTAAGTAATTTAGTTTGACTCTTTTAATTGTCCTCCTTTTTTAAAATGCGCATTCATAGAAAGAAGGAAGTAATTTTTTTTTTAAATCTAATGGTTTTTGGACATTGCAAGACAAGGCAAAATGCCAACAAACCAGGACATCTTGCTGGTGCCTGTTACTAGCCCAGCTTGTTCTAGCAGTCCCATTTTTCCTACACATCTTCCCCTGGGCTTGACTTTGCAGTATTGTCTGACAATATAGAAACTCCACAGCACCTTCATGTCCTCTCCAGTCACTTTTGAAACAGCACTTTATCTCATAATTGGTAATCTTTTCATTGATGCAAGAATCTTATCTTCTGACTCTTTATGATGGTGTAAAGCACTTTCAAGTGGTGTTTCAATGAAGGCGGTTTAATAGCTTGTTTCTTATATATTGTTTCCTGTTTGGTTTCTAAATATTCTTTACAATGTTGGTAGGTTTCAGTAGTACTGTCATCTCTTCCCTCAGGGCCTACAATAATATTAGATTATATCATATTATAGTTGTAAGGGGGAAAAAAAGAGATCTATCCATGTCTTTATGCCACTAGTAAACTTATTACAGTAGTAAACTACCAATAGTCCCTGGCAAGAAATTATAACTTTAGGAGAAAATACTGATTCTTCAATCCTTTTTGAGTTAATGTATGCACAGAAATGTCAGCAACCCCAACTGCATTTGTTAATTATATTCACTAAATCATTGGGTTCATTTGGCTAAAGAAAAAGGAAGAAACATCATCAGGGACATGCCAAGTTTCTGTGTTGCTGCCACTGCTGTTTCCACTGGGAATTATATTCATCTGTACCAATGCATGGCTACAAAACATTGGTTGTGTGTCAAACATGACTAGATGGTGATCAAACTCCTCAGCTAAACACTGGAATAGATTACCTAAGGAGATGTATGGATTCTAAAATAAAGTTTTGTCAAAAAAATAAGGCAAATAGTGCCAGGAAGACTGTAGGTACGAGTGAGCCCACAAAGGACAGAGGGCTTATCTAGATGGAATTCTTGGCATCCTTTCCCAGTCTCTCAATAGTCACATGATCCAGATGCTATGTGGATATATGGTAAAATACAATCCATGTTCAAATACTAGTCTATATTAAAAATCTGAGTCTGAAGACAAGAGAGGAAAAAAATCTTACAGAATCATGGAATGATCTAGGTTGGACAAGACCTCTGAGATAATTGAGTCCAACCTTTGGTCATCACTTTGTCAGCCAGATCATGGCACTGAGTGCTATGTCCAGCTGCTCCCTGAACACCTCTAAGGATGATGACTCCACCATCTCCCTGAGCAGCCCATTCCGATGCCTGACAACCCTTTCAGTGAAGAATTTCCTCCTGATGACCAGCCTGAACCTTCCCTGGCACAGCTTGAGGCTGTTTCCTCTCGTCCTGCTGGTTGCAGAAGAGACTGACCCACCTGGCTACACTATCTTTTAAGAGTCATAGAGAGTGATCAGGTCACCCATGAGCCTCATTTCTCTAGCCTAATCATAGCTCACAACAAAGGACAGGCAAAGCTTCCATTGATTTCAATGCATTGATCCTGTCTGACCTTGATCCACCAGGGCAGTGTGATTCATTAAAATTTAGTGAATGTTTGCATTCATTGCAGTTTCGATACTGGAGGAAAGTAGAGCCCCTGTGCTTTTCCTTCACCAGCAAGGTGGCATAGTTTCTTTGTGCATATTTACGTGACACATTTGTTTTAGATTTGAGAAGCTAAGTTATCTTTCAGTAGGTCTGTTTGTTACCATGCCAGTTGTGCTTATATAGGTACTTCTAGAGGTTGTCTGTAAAATCAGGCAGCTGAAATGGTTTTGGTTTAAAACTCAAAAATGCAAAATTATTTTGGAAGGATATTTTTAACCTAGACTGCTTTAGACCTCAATAGCCTGACCCCACACTCATTGGTAGCAGCACAGTTGAGGACAGGCAGGAAGCTGTAATGTAGCAGGAGCGAGTGGCCAGGGTTGTGAGGTAGGGAGATAAGGGACAAAAACCTCCTAAGCAAATTTCACCACAGAATAGATCATATCATGAAGCTCTGTCTCCAGCTTCAGTGCAAACTGGGACCTGCTCCCTCCCCAGTGACAGCACTGCTCGCCTTGTGGGCTCCACCCTGTCTAGGAATGTCTCACACTGGCCTCAGTCTACACATAAACCAGTCTCACTTTATTTTTCTGAGTTTACAATAAACAAGTACCTTGTGATTCACTCACATGTCTGAATTCACTGCTGGGGGAATAATCTGAATACCAAGACCCCCTTTTGGTTTTGCTGGGTGATAATGATGAGGCCCCCATCTTTGACTTCCATAACACACTCCTTGGAATTAATCCACCACAGGATGCATTTTCTTAATCTTACATGTACCATCTACCTCACTTGTCCCTTCATGGCCACAGACCAAAAAAATATATGAACATACTTTCAATATTCTTCTAAGATGGATGATCAAATAGAGAATGGAGCTGAACAGTGCCTAACAGAAACAGCCCCACAGCACAAAGCCTGCTGAGTTTCTCCCCCCAGATGAATGCGCAATTCAGGACAACTGTCATTTGTGTTCAGGCAAAGGAAGCAGGATGAACTGGAGACATTGTAGTGCAGAGTAGGTCATCAAATTAGTCAGGTAAACAAATTTTTTATTTGAGTCAGCAGTTCTACATGAAGACAGTCTCAGCTGCAGATTTAGCTGATTTAAAACAATGTTAAGCTCAGAAAGAAATGTCTTTGTTGTCACATGGCTTATGGTATATTACAATGACGAGAAAGGAGGTTGTTTTCATGGATATTTTTAGACCTTCAACCATTTTCCCCTTAGAATGGAAAAACTGAAATGTCACAGCCAATTTCCTCTTCTTTGGGCCACAAAATACTTTAGGACAAAGAGATTTTGCTTAACAAAATGTAAGTCTGGCTGGCATAGTGTTAATGGCAAATTGTTTTCTTAAAATAGGAAACCAATGTACATTAAATTAAGGGTTCCCAGAAGAGACATGTTCTATGTGAAAAATATACCTTTTTGAAAACTGATTTGGAATTCCTTTCATTTTTGCCAGCATCTGTATTGTCAAATCCAGTATCAGCTCATAAAAACATATTTTTCAACTGACCTATTTCCCTTTCCACTGCTCAGATAATTTACTGTTTCCCTTGCTTGAGAGGGTTCAATAATTAGCCGGGTGCTTTGGAGTGTGCTGGCTCTTAATTACTGTGTCAAAACCAACTGCATGCCAAACAAGAAAATATAAGTGAATCTCATCTCAGAATTATAAACCAAATAAATACTGGCTTAAAATTGGGAATGGAGTACAGCATGCAACGTTAATATCCAGTTCACAGAATGTCACATCACTGCCTTCCTCTTGGGTTATATGTGGGAAAAACCAAGTATGAGGTTAATTCCCAGGATGCTGTTTTGAAGAAGCACATACATTCTGACTGTCCAAGGTCACTTCATGTGCAGGATGATTTTCAGCAGCTGAATATGTGGCTACATTATAATATAGATAGGGAAAGGTAAAAAATTAGAATGGGTGAGATAGCATGTGAGAAACAGAATGGGAGGCATTCATGGTACCCACAACCACGTAGGTGCATTGCAGCTGCCAGCTGACTAAAATTGATGGCGAGGGGAGGAGTCTCTTGAACACCAGAAGTGCTTAAAAAACCCTAAAGACTACAGAACTAGAAATAAAACATTCACTGGCTGGGGAAGAGATTTGAAATATTGGTGTTATTGCTGAACATGGAGATGTTTCATCTATCTCTGTAAGAAGTACATAACACCCA